CATCGGCCAGCTGCGGCCCATAAGACCAACCCAGCCTGTGGTCTGTTTTTGTACAACCTGTAGGCTAAGAATAAGAACAGTTTCTATGTTTTTAAGAGGCTGAAAAGCATCTGAAGAATGTTTTGTGACATCTGAAAAGCTTATAAAAATTCTTATTTCCATGTCCCTAAACGAAATCTTATTGGAACACAGAGAGACCCCCCCCCTTCACTTCCGTACCCTATGTGCTGTTTTCATGCCAAAATGGTAGGGCTGACCTATTGCAAGAGATCTGGTGGTCCATCAAGTCTAAAAACTTGACACCTGGTTCTTTTGGGGAAAAAAGGCTGCCTACCCATGGATTTATTACACGCTATATGCATTTTAGAAACAGTGACAAACGCTATCCTTACTTTACACACGAGAAGGCTAAACACACAGAGTTTAAGCTACTGTTCCAAAGGACACGCTGAGTGAATAATGGGGCTGAAATTCAAACCCGAGTCCACTTGTTTCCCAAGTTGTAACCCCAGAGCTCAGATGACGCTACAGCCACGCATTTTACAATCCACCCTACGTCACCTGCCTTTCTGCGGGTCAGCGCCAGCCTGTGCTGGTGTGTCACGATTTATGGAGCCGTTCCTTCACCGGCAGAACTAGGCCCCGGTTTCTAGCACACCCCGATGGAGCCAAAAATAAAACTTTACAGATGTGCGGGGTGTGATTAAAAAAGAAGCAGTACGATTAAAAATAATGAAGCAGGTTTGGAATACGGTTAAAAGGCTCTGGCTTTTTCTGGGCCTCTTGGCAGGGAACTCTGAACCTCACAGGCAGCACGGTCCTGTGGGAGGGAAGAGGGCAAGGGCAATCTGGGTTTGGGGGGCCCAGGAGGGGTGGCGGTGGTGCTACCCGGGGTTCCTCCTGCGGCGGAGGATTTTCTTCCTGAGGCCCGACAGCGGGTATGGCCCATGACTTCTGGTCACATTCAAACACTACACGGAGGCAGCCCGGGTGGCTCAGCGGTTTAGTGCCTGCCTTTGGTCCAGCGTGTGATCCTGGGGTCCTGGGATCGAGTCCCACGTCGGGCTCCCTGCATGGGGCCTGCTTCTCCCTCTGCCTGTGTCTCTGCCTCTCTCTCTGTGTCTCTCATGAATAAATAAATAAAATCTTAAAAAAACACAAACCAAACACTACACGGCCTTCGGCCTAGCTGCGCAGAGCACAAAGGGGGAAGGAGGGCTCCCCCCGCATCCTGGGTCTCACCTCAGCCCGACAGTGACAAACGTCGCTAGTGTGCTCCCAGGCTCAGGCTATTTCCCTCAGCACCTGCCAAATCCCCGTGATAATCGCTTCAAGCAGGAGATTTCACGGACATGAGAAGCCAAGTGGAGGCAGAAGCTGAGGCTGGAGGGCTGTGCCTCAAGCCCAGGAGCGACGCAGCCCCCGACACGCAGGGCTCGGCACCGGCTCGATAGACACCCCTGCCCCAGAGCGCGAGGCCAGCATCCTGCCGCCCTAAGCGCCCGGGCTCGGTTAGCTCCCTGCAGCACCGGCGCCCAGTGCGGCCCCCACCGTGCCCTCGTCTCTCATCAGTTCTGATGACGAGCCACGCAACTTTTTTTTTGACTTAAGATTGATTTATTCAAGGGGATCCCCGGGTGGCTCAGCGGTTGAGCACCTGCCTTCAGCCCAGGACGTGACCCTGGGGTCCCAGGATCGAGTCCCACATCGGGCTCCCTGCGTGGAGCCTGCTTCTCCCTCTGCCTGTATCCCTGCCTCTCCCTCTATGTGTCTCTCATGAATTAATAAAATAAAATCTTAAAAAAAACCCATTAAGATGGATTTATTCACGAGAGACCCAGAGAGAGAGGCAGGGACACAGGTGGTGGGAGAAGCCGGTGCCCTGCGGGGCCGACGTGGGACTCGATCCCGGGCCCAAGGCAGGCACCCATCCGCTGAGTGCCCCCTCCCACTGCACCCACGCAGCACACCCCGCCTCCGCTCGTCTTGGCCACCGGCAGCAAAGCTCGTGGAGTCAGGAACCTTCTGAGGTGGTTAAAAACTACCAACTGGGGCAGCCCTGGTGGCTCAGCGGTTTAGTGCAGCCTGCTACCCAGGGTGTGATCCTGGAGACCCGGGATCAAGTCCCGCATCGGGTTCCCTGCATGGAGCCTGCTTCTCCCTCTGCCTGTGTCTCTGCCTCTCTCTCTCTCTCTCTCTGTGTCTCTATGAATAAATAAATAAAATCTTTAAAAAAAAAACTACCAACTGCTACCAGGTTGTTTCCAAGGAACACGCTTAGAGCCAAGTGATTCAGAAACAGTGGAGGAAAGACAGACCCAGGGGCTCGAAACAGCCCCAAATGGGACCCCCCCAAATGTCCGACAGTAGGCGGCTGCACAGAGCGGCTCCCCCCCCAACTGGCGTCTGAAGGACGCTGGCGGCTGGGCCCGTGGGCGCAGGGCAGGTGCAGAGGGGCCGGCAGCTGGGGGCGCCGTCACAGCCCCCAACAGGCGGGCCGGCCCAGCAGGGCGGGTCTCCCCATGCAACAAAGGCGCCCTTGAGAATGAACATAAGCAACCAAGTTTGCAAATACAACCTTGGAAACCGAGGTAGCTACAGAACGGAGACTTGGAAACAACAGTAGGAGTCCCGGTGGGGTATCAGCTAAGGATGTTAGGGCTCCCTTCCCGCCGGGCAGGGGCCATGCAACAGTAAATGCAATGGGTTACTCGAGAAGATACAATCCGTAGCTTAGCACCAAGTGCAAAAGTTCCTAGAAGTGAAAGGAGAACCGGATGGCAAATTACAGAATTTGCTAGACCTCTTGCCAAGCGGAAGAGAACAGCAGAATATTACTGGCTCCTCTAGGACATGGACAAAAATGAAGATGTTCAACGATGCTATGAACACACAAACGGGAGAAGACCTAAGTCAACAGACCGTGCACCTGGGACAAAAACAGAAATTTCGCAGCTAAAACCGCACAGAATGGGCAGCCCGGTGGCTCAGCGGTTTAGTGCCGCCTTCAGCCCAGGGTGGGATCCTGGAGACCTGGGATCGAGTCCCACGTCGGGCTCCCTGCATGGAGCCTGCTTCTCCCTCTGCCTGTGTCTCTGCCCCCTCCGTCTCTCGTGAATAAATAAAATCTTAAAAAAAAAAACCGCACAGAAAATCCTTCCAATCAAGTCGGAATTAAAAAATGCTCCATAAATAACAAGGGGCAGGTCATATGCTTCACGCAGCGTATGTGACCTAAGGTTTTGGCTGCCCTTAGCTAAGGCTAAACCACAAAGTGATACGTACACACAGTCACAAAGTCACTCACGCCCAGTCAATGCTCCAATCGAAGGAAGGGCTGGCAAACTAGGCTACGGGCCAAATCCAGCCAGCCACTTGTTTTTGTGTTGCTTGTGAGCTAATAATGGTTTTTACATGACTGAATAGCTGGGGGTGGGGGGGGTAGGGGGCGGGGGAGGATCAAAAGAAGAACATTTCTTGGCACATGACAATTAACATGAAATTCACATTTCAGTGTCCACAAAGAAGTTTCCCTGGAATACAGCCACACCTGTCATTTACATACTGTGTCTTTGAGATACAAAGAGAGCTCAGTTGCTGCCAGAGACCAGACCCCCCCCTTTACATAAAGTGTGCTGATCCCTTCTAATCTATATAGGGTAAATCAAAACTCAATTGCAGAACGGAGTTCTGGAGATCCAATTTCGAATGAGAAATTAATTAACTGACAGCTGTGTTCAGCATGGGGTCTGGACACCACACCTGAAGAGGCATTAAAATTTAGGGGGGCCTAAATTTTAGGGGTATAGGCATTCAAATTTGTAAAGGGATTTTCTTCCACATATGAGGGAATCTTATATGCTGTTTGGAAATTTGTGCTGTTTCAGAAAACAGATAAACAGATAAACGGAGGTGAAGCGAAGGAAACTTTTCTCACGATTAGTCACCACATCACAGAACAGCCATGCTTCTTGTCAACTGGCAGGATCTGTGCGGAACCCAGCTGGATGTCTGTCTATCCATAAGACATTAAGCAGATAACAGCTGAAGAGTTGATCCCTATCGTGGTTGGAGTGATATCCCAACACTCATCCACCCATAACCTTGGAATGTGACCTCATTTAAAAAGAGGTTTTTTTCAGCTCTAAGATGAAAAACAAAACGGGATCACTCTGGATTAGGATGGGTCCTGGCCAATGGCTGTCCTTTTATAGAAGAGGAGAGCACAGAGACACAGGGAAGAGGGCCATGTGGGGAAAGAGGTGGGGATGGGAACAACGCTACCAGAAGCCGAGGAATGCCAGAAGGCACCAGAAATGAGAAGCAAAGAAGGCTTCCCCCCAGAGTCCTCAGGGCTACCACCCTGACCCCTTGTTCTCTGATGCCCGGCCTCCAAATTGTGACACGACACATTTCTGTTGCTTTAAGCCACTTCGGTGTGTGAAAAATGCAACACATATTAACTTCGTTCTTCTTGAAAGGTTCAAAAGAGATAACGGTGTATTTCTAAAATTCAATTTGTGTTTTGAGAGAACCGTAGATCTGGATGCTGTTATAAGAAACAATTCAGAGATCTGGTTGCGCCCTTTACCCAGTTTCTCTTCATGGGTAACATCTGCAAAACTATAGTACAGAATCACAACCAAAATAGTGGCATCGAGACAGTCCCGTGATCTGATTCCACTTCCCTAAAGTACTCAGTGGGTGGGTGGTGTATTTAGTTCTACCCACCACCATAAAGATACACACGATTTCATCACCAGGGCTATATGGCATCACATCACCTGCAAAAATATGCCTTGTCTGTCTGTCTCTCTACTCACATGATGGCTAGTTCAAAGACAAATCTTTGAAAAGCCATGATGAGAAAGCTTATTTATGCGATCATGAAAAAAGAAAGCAAACATTTTTCAGATATTCTGAGTTGGGATCTGGAGGAAAGAATGTAGATGTTAGTTAACCCAGAGCAGGTTCTTCCAACATGACCCCAACTCTTGTACCTTGTCCTTCTTATCCTGTCGGGCGTATGGAAAACACGGGATTACGGCAGTCACCCTGGATGATGACGCGATCTTGCAGGCGTTGATCATGATGAGGAGCTCCATCAGGTTGTCATTGATTTCTCCACAGCCACTCTGGATGATGTAGACATCTTCGCCCCTCACGCTTTCACCAATCTCGACGCTAAGAGAAGGAAAATACCATCCGTTAACGGTCAAGTATGTCTGTGTCTTGGCGGTCCCCGGGAGCACCACCAGGTGTGCCAGGATTCACAGGATGCTAGGATTTACCACAGTGAGAGGATATAGAGGAAAATAAACAAAGGGAAAAAGGGCAAGGAGCAAAATCCATGGGAAACCCGATGCAAGCTTCAAAGAGTCACCTTGAGGTGGAGTCACACAGGCTGAGCTTCATTCCCCCAGCAACCAGCCATGACAGTATGCTTGAGGTGTTGTCCACCAAGGAAGCTCATCATTGCCCAGGCCACTACTGGGGGGGGGGGGCTGGTCACACGGGCTCCATCTGCCTGGCACAGACCAAAATTCCAGACCCCCAGGCATTCCACATTAACCACATTGTTTCTACAGTTAGGGAAGAGTCAGCCGATCCCATCTGGGAATGGCGGGAACCCTTCCAAAAACAAAGCTCCCGAAGGCCAGCTGAGGACTACCCCCGCAAGCAGACCTTTTTCATATAGGAGGGGATCTTATATGCTCGTTAGAAATAGGTCTCAGTCCTGTTATATCAACTTCTTTCTGGTCAACGGTAGATTGAGTTTTACTTTTATTAAAGTTACATAAACACACTGCTTCAAAAATTCAAGTCGTAAAAAAAATAAAAAAAATAAAAAAAATTCAAGTCGTTCAGTAAGGCTTGTAACAAACATTTCAGAGGCAACCAATTTCAATCTTGCTATGGTTCTCGGGCATTTATCTTCAAGTCTCCAACTAGAACGTTTCTATTGCTTCATCTTGAGCTTTCGTTGTAGGCATCACGTGTTGATTTCTTGCTACGCAGATGATGACCTAACTACCCCCCACCACCTCCCAACACTTGCATCCCTTGCAGCCTTCTGGTCTCACCACCATCCCAACATAGATCAATCTTCTAATCGAATAGGATGCCTACTTTTAACCGTGTGCTATTTAGAGCTGAGCCATAAACTTACATTCAAATTTAGACTTCCCTTTTACACACAATTTTTGGTGGTTTGTTTTCTCTGGAGTATATTATCCTACCTTTTCACCTGCTGAGTTTTCTAAGTAGTGAATACAAATTCCAGCCTAAACAGTGGGCTAATGACAATCTACATTCCCACCACGACAGGGGCAGCAAGTCTGATCTCTAGCTCACTGCCCTGCCCATGTTTCCTCCCAGTCACTGGCTGACTGGGGGGGGGGGTGTCTCCTGTCCGTGCACAGATGCCTCCTGGAGAAGCCCACTGCCCGTCCCCTGCACTCAATTTCCCACCTTCAGTGTCCTCTTTTTTGCTGTACTTCTTTGTTTTGCTGGTTGGCATCCTCTAATAACTTTTGGAGAAAGAGTAAAGAGGAGCTTCAAAAGCCTTTGAAAACTGCATGTTGAAAAATTTCTGTTTTGTGGGCATAGAATGCTGAGTGTTCAACATGAGAGGAAGCCAGCCCATCCCTGGCATGTACCTTCCATGGGAAGCAAAAAAAATGCTGTGTGCGGGAGCAGGTCCTTCCCAGAGTACTGCCAAGAACCAAGGAGACCTTCAGCTGCTCTGCTACCATGTGCATTTTGAAAAGGCTAATTTTGTTCCAATTGATATATTAGGAACAATTCAAGCATAATATGAATTTTACATTTGCTTACACACCACCTTTCATCTGGAGATAAGAATGTAGAACACTGCACTGCACCCAGCTGAATGGAGGAGCCAACTTAGAAATACTCCCCCACCACACCAGGACCACAGCCACACCCACCCACATCTGGTATCACCATTTTCCACAGGACTTCGGATCACCCACCTTCCGTCGCCTCACAAGAGCCCAAAAGCTACAGCCCTTCCAAGACCTACTTCCATAGGAAGCTGTAGGTCTTCTTCAATGGAAAGTGCCATACTTACTACAGAGTTTATGTATTTTTTAAACCTGTAGTATCTGTAAAGTGTTTTACCATTTCTATTATACTCCCATCTTTTAAAAATAAGTTACTGAAGAGGTTTGATGTTGTGCCCCCAATCCTATTTTTCCCATAAACCCTGTGGTTTTTATTGTATGATTTTGCATAGCATGATGGATTTTTAGGAAAGCAATAAGTCACATTATAGTACGACTGGCTATAAATGGGCTCACCCTAAAAAGAAATATAATGAATCTTATTCTAAAACTACAAGGGAGGTACATAAACAATTGCCCTTATCTCTCCTACTATCAGAAGCCAATTATACCTGATGACACTGTTTTATCAACAGAGCCAATTATTTCTACAAAGACTTTAAAATGAGTTGACATTTTGGATACCATGCAATAAGTGTACTGAATCAACAGAAGCTTCTATCCGACTTCAACCAGAACACAAAAATGGAAGTTTTTCAAGTTGAACTGATCTGAAAATGAGTTTTGGTAAACAGTGGGTCATAATTTTTTATGTTCTCTGCTATGAACGGAAACAGGATGACGTCACCCTCAGGATGAGAGAGACCGAATTCTATACACTCCCTCCTATTTTGAGTTCTAAGGAGCTAAATGTAATTCCTTTGTGAATATCCTATCAACTGGGGAAAAAAGTCCATTTGGAAATCGCAGTATCACATAGCTAGGAGCTGACAATCCACAACCCACAAGCTGAGAATGACGACGTAGGCAGAGTGGCCCCACAAAGAGGTCTAGATTCTAAGCCCCAGAACTTCTGAATAGGTCAGTTACTTGGCAAAGGGGAAACAGGTTGGCAGGGAGAATTAAGGTTACTAACCGGCTGACCTTAAAATAGGGAGATTTTCCTGGATTATTCAAGTTGGCCCGTTGTGATCACAAGGGTCCTTAAAATGGAACAGGAAGACAGAAGACGTCAGAGGAAGCGATATGAGGTCTGAAGCAGGGTCGGAGAGGTGCTACATTGTTGGCTTTGAAGATGGAGGAATAAATCAAGGACTGCAGGCAGCCTCTCCAAGCTGAGACAGGCAAGGGAATGGCTTCTGCCCTAGAGCCTCCAGGAAGGGACACAGTGACCCAGGACAGACTGCTGACCTACCCAGCTGTAAGACGCAGCAGCAACAGAGGACGTGGGGGCCCCAAGCTGGAACTATTTACTGCCTGGCCTGCCTGTTACAAAGAAAATTTGCCAGCCTCTGGCGTTATGACCATTTATCCCCAAAGACCTGCTTCTTTGACCTATTTTTCTTCAGGAACTTCAGTCCCCTTATGATTAGCAGTCCAGCAGAGGATGGAAAATTCTATCACCATGGCAACTTTTCCCCCAAAGCCATTCCTGCTTCTACTCATAAGATGATCACGACTGATCTTTCTTGTAGGGCCTCTTAAAAATTGTGGCCAGAAGGCAGCATCCATTTGTTGTTCACATGGAGAATCTTCACAGATCCCAAAATAAGAAGGCAGATGAGTTTATCTGACTCAATAATGAATGGGTGTGGTAATTAAAAGATGGCTGCTGATGCTTTAAAACTTTTCCCATCAAGAAGAAGTAGAGTCTAGGGGTACCTGGGTGGCTCAGTCGGTTAAGCATCCTACTCTGGGTTTCGGCTCAGATCACGAGCTCCACCTTGGGCTCTGTACTGAGTGGGGAATCTGATATTCTCTGCTTCTGCCCTTCCCTCGCTTGTGTGCTCACTTGCACGCACTCTCTAAAATAAACCTTAAAAAAAATGAGAAAGAAGTGAAGTCTATGTTCCCCTTCCCTTGGATTTGGGAGGAGTCTGCTTGACAACCTAAGTGACAATGCACCAACTTCAGGCCCCACACCTTACCAGACTGGCAGCAGATTCTTCCTGTCTCCCATGCTCTAAGGAAGCTCAAGCAGCCCTGAGGAGAGGTACTGAGGTTCCTGGCCAAGCTCCCCAGCAAAAGCTCACACCAACTTACCAGCCAAGTGAGCGAGCCATCTTCGAAGTGGACCCTCCAGCCCCAGTTAACTGTCCCAGGTGCCATCACATAGGATGCTGCCCAAACTGCAGCTTTGTGAGTCAAATACACAATTGTTGTCTTAAGGTGTTAAATTCTGGGGTGATTTATTACACGACAGAAACCAAAACTTTGGGTCTTTCAGTACAGCTAACCACTCTGTGGGCAAGTTAACTGACCAGGATAAAATGTTACAACAGACTTTCAGACACCTTCATTGTGGGATTTCAGTGGTCTACAGTGAAGCTGGTGCAGACATCTCTCTGCATACCTAAGACGATTCAGAGGTGTGCCTGGGTGGCTCAGGTCATGACCTCAGGATCCTGGGATGGAGCCCCATGTCGGGCTCCACACTCAGAAGAGAGTAAGCTCGTCCCCCGCCATTCGTGCTCACTTGCACTCCTTCTCTCAGATGAATAAATAAAAATATAAATCAGTAAAATGATTCAGAGATGAGAAGGGAAAATAAGGAGGCCCTGTGTCTGATTAGGTGCTACTTTAAACGTGAGGAATGGGGACTCCTGGGTGGCTCAGCAGTTGAGCATCTGCCTTTGGCTCAGCTTGTGATCCCGGGGTCCTGGGATCGAGTCCCGCATTGGGCCTCCCACAGGGATCCTGCGTCTCCCTCTGCTTGTGTCTCTGCCTCTCTCTCTGTCTCTTATGGCTAAATAAATAAAATCTTTAAAAAAAAGTGGGGAATGGCCACAGGGGGTGGGGGGTGGTAGCTGGCTGAGTCGGTGAAGCATGCTACTCTTGATCTTGAGGTTCTTAGCTTGAGCCCCACACTGGGTATAAAGATTACTTAAAAATCAAAACTTAAAAAAAAAAGTGGGGAATGGAAGGAGTGACGACCAGGAGACATGAAAGCAGATTTCTGGTCCTGGCTCAGGGGAGAGGTTCAAAAGGGGCCTCTTACATGTAGTGAGTCCATTTTCTTTTCCTTTTACCCTGTTTCTCATCTCTAGGACCACACAGTAAAAAACAGGTCATTAGGACAATACCTAGTACAGAGAGGACTGTTTATAAAAATCAACGTCTGGACCTAGACAGCTCATAGGAAAGAGAAAAGTCAGGAAGAAGCTAAACTGTTATATTCTAAATATTAAAAATGTATAATGTTGGGGTGCCTTGCTGACTCAGTAGAGCATGTGACTCTTGATCTCGGCATTGTGAGTTTGAGCCCTACCTGAGGTATAGAGATTACTTAAAAAACAAAACAGGGCAGCCCGGGTTGCTCAGTGGTTTAGCACCGCCTTCAGTCTAGGGCGTGATTAGGAGCAGACCGTGATAGTTCAGTGTATACAATTATAATCTCATTGGGATCCCTGGGTGGCTCAGCGGTTTAGCGTGCCTGCCTCTGGCCCAGGGTGTGATCCTGGAGACCTGGGATCAAGTCCCACATGGGGCTCCCCGCATGGAGCCTGCTTCTCCCTCTGCCTGTGTCTCTGCCTCTCTCTCTCTTTCTGTGTGTCTCTCATGAATAAATACATAAAATCTTTAAAAAAAACAAAAACAAAAACAAAACAAGGGCACAGGGTAGCTCAGTCAGTTAAGCATCCAACCCTTGATTTTGGCTCAGGTTATGACCTCAGGGTCCTGGAATTAAGCCCCACAATGGGCTATAGATCAGCTCCGGGTCTGCTTGTGATTCTTTCTCCCTCTGCCCCTCCCCCTGCCCACATGTGCCCTCACATGCACACTCTAAACAAACAAAATCTTTGAAGAGTGAATTGTTAAAAAACAAAAACAAAAAAAAAAAACATATACTGTACTAACTATTGTTAGTCTGTGACAAGCAATTGCCAGACTTCATGCTGAATGGTTTTTGAGATCTCAGGATTTCTAGTTATCAGGTGGTGGCTATAAAATACTCAAAACCAAATAAAACAGAGTTAAAACAAACACGCAATTGTATTTCAATGTCTCAGGGAGTTCCAGCCAACAGTACATGCAGTATCTTAGGCAGAAATGCAACAGTAACATCTCTAAGCTGGATTAACTCTGCTCCTAGAGCACCAAAGGACTGCACTGCCCTGGGGAAACAGGGAAGACCAACATACTTGCTTTCAAAATGTACTTCGCCCAGAAATTTCTCCTCTAGTTACAGGATGCCACCTGGTGAACAAAACCTCATATCCCAGTCTCCGTCTAGCTGCTGAAGCTTGAAAAGGGCTGGCCAGATACAACAACATTGACACCTAGCTATAGTAGCCTTTTCCAGAGCCCTCCCCGCCATCCTCCCAGACTTCTGTATTAAACCCTTCCTGCAAAGCGGAAATCTTGGCCTCAAGGGCCGCCCGCACATCTACCACCTGTTACTCATTCACAAGCGATCTCTCCTCGCTGGCCTTATCAACAGGACTGTGTGGTGATTTCCCACCTGGAGGAAGGGCTGCACATAGCCTATAAAGCTGACTCTAAAACACCATCCTCCCCATATGTATTAATATTCATGAACTCCTCAGCATCTAAAAAATTTCTGTCTATTCCAAAAGTCATCAAGGTCTTCTCCCTCGTTTTGTTTTGTTTTCTTTTTTTTTAAAAGATTTTTATTTGTTTATTCATGAGTGATGCAGAGAGAGAGAGGCAGAGACACAGGCAGAGGGAGCAGCAGGCTCCGTGCAGGGAGCCCGGCATGGGACTCGATCCCAGGACCCCGGGATCACGCCCTGGGCCGAAGGCGGCGCTAAACTGCTGAGCCACCCGGGGAGCCCCTCTCCCTCGTTTTCTTCTGGAAATGTTTAGTTCCAGGCTTCACATGTACGTCTGCGATCCGTCTCAAGTTAATTTCTGAAACAGTGGGAAGCATGGAAGGGTTTTGCTGTCGTTTTGGCAGCTCGCTCCGCTTGTGGAAAGTGGTGGTAGCCCTGGACCTGTGCCAGAGCGAGAAGTGATCGGTAACCGCGGGCGCGCTGGATCCTTCGGGAAGGAGCTAAATAGGAGCTACTTGAAACTGGTTCAGAGCTTTGTGGACTCAGGCAGGTGGAAACCGGAGCCCCTGTCCCGCTTGTGAGGCGGGCCGCCGGCCTGGCCGAGACCCGGGTGGCAGTCACGCTGGGCCACGGCCTTGCCCTGGACCCCGCCGAGGCGCACAACCACGACGATGATGAAAGCTATCAGCTTTGAGGCAGAAAAATTCGAGGAAGCCCCGGGAAGCAGCACGTGCGCCCGGGCGCTCTCACGCTCCGTAAAGGCTCCGCACCAACACCCCCTGCGGGTAAGCCCGCGGGCTGCACCCCGGCTGCAGGGGAGTCACCCGGGGGCTTGGAAAAGGCCGCCGCCCCCGCCCGCGGAGCAGAAGCTCCGGGGCAGGGAGGGGAAGCGGCTTTTTAAACGGCCCCCAGGTGAATCCGGCGCGCGGCCCGGGCTGGGGACGTGGGCGGAGCCGTCGGTCGCACGCCCGGGGCTTGGGACCCGCCCGGAGGGGACCGGGAAACCGGACTCGCACGCCCAGGGCCGCCCCTCGCCGCGTGCCCTGCACCCAGGCGGTTCCCGCCGGCGGCGCCCACCTCGCCCCGACGCTGCGGCCGCCCCGAGGTCGCCCTTCCGGGCCAGGGGCCGCCCTCCTCCGCGTCTCCCGGGCGCCGCAGCGGTGGCGCGGAGGCCGCGTCGTGAGCGTCCCGCCCCGGAAGGGGGAGCGGGCGGCCGCGGAGTGGTCCCCGGGGGGGGAGGTGGCGGGGTGCGGCGGGGCGACGGTTCCCGCCCGGCCCCGCGGCAGAGCGCCCAGTGCCCTCCCCGGCCCAGCCCGGCCGCCGGCGCGGCCCCCCACCTGGTCTCCTGGTTGCTGAACTTCTTAGTGACCACCTTGCCCAGTTCCAGGCCCAGCCGGTCGGCCACGCGCTGGGACAGGTCCTGGTGCGAGCTACCGCTGAAGAGCACGATGTTGGGCATGGCGGAGGCGGCGGTGGCACCGGAGGCTGCGACGCGAGCGGGAAAGCGCGGCTGTCGACCAAAGGAGGAGCGCAGGGGAAAGGAGCTGGAGGGGGCGGAGTCGGGGCGGGGCTCGAGGGGGCGGGGCGGCGGAGCGGGAAGGCGCCGCGGCGGGACCCGAGAGGGGCGGAGCTGGAGGGGGCGGGGCCGGAGGGGGCGGAGTCGGGGGCGGGACTCGAGGGGCGGGGCGGTGGAGCGGGAAGGCGCCGCGGCGGGACCGGAGAGGGGCGGAGCTGGAGGGGGGCGGGGCTGGAGGGGGCGGAGTCGGGGGCGGGACTCGAGGGGCGGGGCGGTGGAACGGGAAGGCGCCGCGGCGGGACCGAAGAGGGGCGGGGCTCGAGGGGGCGGAGTCGGGGCGGGGCTCGAGGGGCGGGGCGGAGGAGCGGGAAAGCGCCGCGGCGGGACGGGAGCGGGGCGGAGCTGCGGTAGGACTGGCGGCAGACCGGGAGCACTTGACCCCGTTCTTGACCTTTCTGCCCTGCCTGGAGGTGCTGGACTAATTGGGCACCGAGGGAGGGTGCAGGAGGAGGCGACCGACGTGCCCGGCAACCGCGAGCGACCCCTCGACCCGGAATACCCCCAAACCCATTGCAGACGACCGGTGTGCAGCTACGGGGGGCTGCAAAACTGCGGCCCGCGGGCCAGGTGCCCGGCGCTGCCTGTTCCTACCGGATTGCTAAGCATTGTTTTGACACAAGAACCTTCGCAATCTGTGTGACCACAGCTGTACGACGTTCGCAACCCAATTGAGAAAAAAAAAATCCCCTTCAAAAAACAAACAAAAAAACCCCAAAACCCTTTCCTCTCATTAGTGGCTGTGTACTGCAAAAAGTTGTACCAAATTATTATGTTTTGTCAATAAAAATGTTGTAAACATGTGTTTTCTCTCGTTATGGAAGTACCTACATAATGATCTCTCCATTTTGCTTTGTAGCCCACAAAGCCTAAATTATTTACTATCTAGTCTTTAGTCAAAATTCTCTGATGCCTGAACTACAGGATGACCCTTTGTCCTTGAAAAAGCCAGGATGCCAGTGGCCATCTGAGCCCTGACCACAGACGGAGGGGCAAGGTTGCTCTTTAATGACGGTGAATTGGATCAAACCAAGCCTCCTCCATATTCCTCATTTGTAGGTACCCATCCGGCCAGCTTTGCAACTTCCTGCCTTTCGGGTTCTCAAAGGCCTGACCCTAGGGACCTCACCCCCCAGTGCCCCAACTCCCACTAGATGGTCCCCAGTCACAGCTCTCCATACCCCTGCAGCGGGTTGCCTTCCCCTCTCTCCCGGCAGGCCAGAGCCAAAAAAAAAAAAAAAGGTTTTCTCAAGCAAATGCAGTCCCAGAGCCAACCCTTGTGCACAAATCAAATGTAGGGGAAAGGAATGTATTACGTGGGAACGGAGGACCAGCATGTTAGTGATGCTGGCCACTTTAATGCTTCTCAATGACAGCAGATTAAATAGGTCAGATAAATGGCTGGGCTTTTCCTAACGTTGCCAAGAGTTGGCTGACCATCCACACAGAAGGCCACTTGCAGGTCAGTTGTAGCCCACTGTAACCTGACTTCATATTATTTGGATTTGGGTGATTTCTGGGATTATTCATGCAATTCAGATTTTTCATCCAGGTCCATGCACTTTTCAAATTTGATTACCTAGCACACCAAGTGTTTCTCTAAACTCCTGAATCAGCCCGCTTACCAAAAAGCTGTCCAGAGCACCAATTCTGGCAGCGTTTCTGCCCTTTTTTCATTCTTCCTGGAGACGTGTATGTGCTCTATTATTAAAAAAGAAAAAAAATCCAACCCTACTTGCAATGATTTATTATCTATGTGTTTTACAGTTAATTACCATAGCAATGAGATTTATACTGATACTCAACCATATGTCTAAAATTTTTATTGAATGAGTCTGCTAATGTAATTATTTTTAAATTCTCCTAATAAAATTTTCTACTAACAATATTACTGTAATTTTTATGTCCTTAAAATTTTTCTCATAGACAAGCCATATACATGTTCTTTTCAGTGGGAAAGTCGCTTCTCCTTAGCATGGCAGAGCCATGGTTCTTTGGTAACAAAACTGACGGACTCTATTATACAGTAGAAGTTAAAGCGCCTGGTCCCTGAGTATGTTAATGGTCCAGGATTGGGAAGCTAGGGTTGAGTTCTCACAAACCATGACCTCAATACTACCAGGGAGAAGCAATATCTAGGTTAGGGCAACTAACAAGATGGTCATTGGCTCAACACTCTGATGAGTTACTAGGCTTAAATGCTGCCGGTAAACAAGGAGAAAAGTACCACTGGGATCGTCTAAGATCACCATGAGTAGCAGATGCCCAGAGAGCTGGCTGGCACTGGCACAAGTGCAGGATTAAAAGAGCAGCTGTAGGTGATTTCATTTAAGTGTGAACACTTTCTCTCCAAAGCCCTTTACTTTGACCCAAAGGATCCAGGTTGTTGTGACAAAATCTTGGTCTAGAGCAGATTTCTCAACCTTGGCACTGTGAACATTAGGGCTGGGTAATTCTCTGCACTGGTGCTGTAGTCTCTGCAGACATTGCCAAATGTCCCCTAAAGAGTAAAATCACACCAGCTTGAGAACCACTTGTCTGAACGAACCTCTGTCCCGTTCCTCCATGTGGGGTTTTCCTTAGGGCTCTTTGGACTTTCTCCCAGAATGGCCGCAGGGTTCCAAGAAGGAGTGTTCCAAGAAGATAAGCCTCAATGAGCAAATACCGATCAAGCCTCTAGTATTATCACATTTGCTAATGTCCCACTGGCCAAAGCAAGTTATGTGGCAAAACCAGTATCAGTATGGTACGGGACAATATACGGGCATCACTACTAGGTCCACTAGTCCACCAACAGTCTACCACGGTGTACTTCTTGGACAGAATGTAGAGTTGAGAGAGCCTCCAGGAAAATGGAACACATGTACAAAGACTCAAGACTCAAGTGAAGAGAACGTATGCCATGTATATATGGGATCTCAGATTTTGGACATGATGTAAAATATTCATTATTTTGAGATAAAATGTTTGTGGAGAAAATAAGAATAAGATATTTCCATTGTTGGCTTCTGCCTTCACCAACTCATCAATAGGGCTGATAGGAGAAAATACTGATTTGAGTTCGTGAATAGTTTCACATCGTGCATTCCCCACAACATTTAGCGAAGATCTTTGTAGATGGTAAGAGCTCTCAATATTTGCAGAATGAATTTATTCTCAACAATCTCAGGGCGGAGAAATGGAAGAAATGGCCCAAAGTGAGATGGCTAATAAAAGGCAGCAAGGGAATCAGAATGCAGGCCTTCTAACTCAGTTCTCTCTCCAGAACAGTGCTGTGCAAAAGAAGTATAATGCAAGCCACATATGTAATCTACACCTTTTCGTAGCCATATTTTAAAAAGAGTAAAAAGAAACCAGTGATGTTATCTTAATGACACACTTTTATTTAACCTAATATGTCCCAAATGTTATCACTCCTACACGTAATCAATATAAATTAATTAAAGGGATATTTTGTATTATTTTTTTGTTCCCAGGCCATCTTTCCAGTGTATACTCTACACCTATACACATACTCTACACCTATAGCACATCTCAATTTGGACTCACTATATTTCAAGGGCTCAACAGTGGCTAGCAGTTGCTATGAGAGCGGGAGTTCTAGAACACTGGTTCCTAAGAGCAGTGCTAAGACACCTTGATGCATCCATTCTATTGTGTGTGGTTTTTTTTTTTTTTTTGGAGTGTGGCAAATAATTTATAGCTAGTTATAAACTGCAAGAGTTTATAAATAATTTAGTTTAAAATGCAAGTTAAAATAAATACAAGCAAAAAAATAAAATAAAATAAATACAAGCTTATTCCTGTATTACTGACATTATCACTTATAACCAAGTTTTTTTGTGATTTTTATTTCTATATCATTTCCTTTTACTTTCTATCATTTAAAGAAAAAATTGTTAATAAAGAAGAGTAGAATTAATATCCATAAACCCATCACCTAGATCTAGCAGCTATCAAAATTTTGCCAGATCTTGGAAGCCTGAGTGGCTCAATCAGTTAAGTCCTTGGCTCTTGATTTCCACTCAGGTCATAATCCCGGGGTCCTGGTATCGAGTCCCAGGTCAGGTACCCTGCTGAGTAGAAAGCCTGCTTCTCCTGCTCCCTCTGCCTCCCACTCTCCCTGCTTGTGCTCTCTCAAATAAATAGATAAAATCTTAAAAAAAGAAAAAAGAAATTATCAGTAGAAAACATAGGTAGAGCTCTTTATGACCCTGGTTAGGCAATAACCTCTTTAATATGACACCAAGAGCACAAGCATCAGCAACAACAGAAGTAGATAATTAGATAGATAAAAAAAAATCAAAATTTTAAAATTTTGTGTTTCAAAGGATACCATCAAGAAAATGAGGACAACTCAAAATGTTTGCACCTAATCTATCTGATAAGGGAACTGTATGTAGAATGTATAAAAATGGCCACAACCCACTGAAAGACAAATAATTTTAAAAACAAGCAAAGGAAACTGCACACGGATGTTCTTTTTTATTTTTAAAGACTTTTATTTATTTATTTATGAGAGAGAGAGAGAAGCAAAGGGAGAAGCAGGCTTCGTGCAGGGAGCCCGACATGGGACTCGATTCCAGGTCCCCAGGATCACGCCCTGGGCTGAAGGCGGCGCTAAACCTCTGGGCCACCCGGGCTGCCCAAAGTACATGGGTGTTCATAGCAGCTTTATCCATAACTGCCAAAACTTGTAAGCAACAGATATGTTTTTCAGCGGGTGAATGGATAAACAGTGATACATCCAGACAATGGAGTATTATTTACTGCTGAAACAAAATGTGCTATTAAGCCATTAAAAGATACACAGGAACCTCAAATGTATATCAGCTGAGTAAGAGAAGCCAACGTGGAAAGGCTACATAAGTGTATAACTTCAAGCATGTGATATTCTGGAAAAGGCAAGACTAAGAAAACAGTAACAGAAAAAAAAAAGGGGGATCAATGGTCGCCAGGGC